GGCCCGCCGGGAGTCGTGTTGCGGCCCGCGGAGCTAGGTCAAATGAACATAAATGTTAACTTTATTGTACATATCACCAAATGAACATTAGAAGAGTTAAGAAGGTTTGGAAGAGTTCTATGAAACGTATTTGGACAAGGATAAATATCTTGCGTTTTACAAACATGCTCTGTCAATGGTTTCGCTATTTGGAAACACTTATGCGTGTGAACAACTTTTTAGTCGTATGAAGTACATCAAATCACAAGTGAGAACACGAATTACTGATGTTCATTTGGAAAACTGTTTGCGTGTAGCGACTACATCAGTCCAGATCAATTTTGATGCACTTACTTGTTAGTTCTGTAAAACAAAGTCAGATGTCTCACTTTTAAATATTTTTAAATTGTCTAATAAATATGTTTCTCGGTTATTAAATAAATGATTCTCGGTTTTGTTTTATTTTTTTCAAAAAAATAAATATACCTATTTTTTGTGTTTTTTTTTACATTAAACCAGGCAAGTGTTTGACCACGATCTCACCTACTGGAAAGCAACGATGCGGTTGAAGCTGTAGCACGCTTGCTTGTTTACTTTAATTTAAAAAAAGATTAGGTGCGTGGCCCGGCAGGAAATATTATTTCTGAAATTTTGCCCGCCTGCTAAAAAGGTTGGCCACCCCTGGCCTAGAGGCTCATGTCCAGCTAGCCGATACAACCCAAGACAAGACAAGCGCTCGTTGATTTGCTTACTTGGCCACTTGCTTTAATACGGCTGCATAAGAAACCAATAATATAGCTTGTTTTATATTGAACATCATTGGTTTTCTTGCCTAGATGCTCTCCACCCAGACGTATTAAATATAAATTGAGGGAAAGAGACAACTGAGAGCATTTATCCGGTTTTCGGTTCTAATTCGTGTCGTTATGCAACATGACTACTCGAAACCTAGAAGGAAAATGAAACAGTTCCAATTTCCATTTAATTTTATTGATATGGTACAAAAGGAAATATTCTATTGCTGAGATAATACAAAATCATGACAGAAGTTTACTCACATCTAAACGACTAGTAATATCATTCCCGCTGCTCCATTGTTGGTTTGGATAAAGCCATGATGGGCTTAACAGGCCTTCTTTTTGCTCCCAGGATAGAAAGAGTATAAAAAAAGAAGCCAATGAAGCACTAGCCTGCCTTTTTAGATTTGACTTTTGAATAGATATGTCGGGTTCAGTCTTTCACTGCTTGGTGCCTGTCCCACTATATGTGTCAGTCATCAATAGAATACCGAGCTTTTTATAATAATTCTATATTCTACAGGTAGGTAGTTCCGAGTCGGAACCGACCTGGACTCGGAAGTAGTAGGAACAGTTCCACACCGAGTGCTGAGACCATGAAAATTTTTCATTGGGGCAAAGCTTAGAGTCAAAGAATTATATTAAAAATTTTTATTTAATTATCTCGCAAGTGGATTATAGAATACAAAAAGACAAAAATATGTACAGAACTTGTAAATCTGTAATAGTTAACCAATGTCCAAATTTCTTACTGAAAATTTGACATGAAACGCTACAATTTTCACTTTGTTTTTCTCTTCTCAACCCTAAAGTTGGTCTAGTCAGCGTCAAGTCCATCATTGACATATATTTAGTGCCATTGCTTGATTTTGCTATAATATGTTCTGTCTTTCTCCTTCGTCTTTTTATTGCTTTCTTTGCCATCGTTGCCTTAAAAGGCACTCTGGTGACATATTGAGTGCAATCGGATCATAACTGTAATCATTTACATATCTAGGCTCTCCTAAATATATGTCTATTTTTATGGTAATTGGACAATAATGTTTTGCTAGGAACTTTTGTATTTCAACATAATAGGCCTCTCCTTACTTCAGATTTCAGTAACCTGAGATCAACCGCAATCCTAAAATATTAAACTGGAAATTCTACAAATAAATTACTTAAAAGTTTTAAGTTTGGTGCCATTCTGAACAACATATTGAAATCTTGTGGCTCCCGATTTCTCCCGAGAATCGTTTTTATTCAGCGTAACCATGAAGTTTATACTACCCGCCTATCAGTTACTTAGTATTCATCTCGGTTAACAGATCAACTATCGCGGAATGCTTGTATTGATATTTAAATAACGCTTATTTTACTTAACAATGTTCTTAAAACAAAATAGTAATGATAGTGGCTATTCGAATATGCCAAATAGAAACTACAAAATTCTTCCTTGAAAAGATGAAAATTCTCGACTTAAGAACGAAAGAAAAACCCATATGTCATATTAACATCAATTTTGTAAAAATAGATTGATATAACTGTGCCTAATTTATTAATTATACATTATCGTTGGTACATACGTATGGAGAAGAACATAGGGTTCGGTACTATCCGCAGTGTCAGGTATTTCCTGGAAGTCTTGAATCGTATCCCAGTGGATAATGGTGATTACTACACCTGTAAATCATAATTTTTCAAACTTGAAAGTTACAATTTTATAAGACAGGCGTTATTTAAATTATTTACATTTGAAATCCAGCTGTAAATTAATTTGAATCTTAAATTGTTTTTATAATAGGGATAGATCCGTACTTTTGTGTTCGCCGACCTCATTATGGATGAGTTCTAATTTTTTCGAGCGTAGGTGTTTTGTAGAATGCCACAACGATCCTTAGACTACTAATTTGAATGCCACTTGCTTTTATTTATTCATTTTTATTAGTTTAGTCTGCATTAGCTTAATACTATTACATTATTAAAAAATTATTTATAATTAGTTTCAAATTATATATTAAAAAATAATTGCGTATAATGCTATTTTCTAAGTTCAATTTTCAAGAAAGTACTCTTTGCTCTATTAAGACCTCGTGCTTCATCGAAATCGGGTATTGCCTATAAAAATTAATTTAAATTATTCATTTTTATATATAATGACACGTTTAAAAAATTGTAAAAGAAATTGCTTACTGTTTCGTTTTTTCCCAATTTAAATCTAATAATTTGTAACATTCTAACTAGACCCATTTTGATCTCCATAACTGAGAACCTCATTCCTATACAGCTTCTGGGCCCATATCCAAATGGTAAATTTGTAAAAGGAATAATGCTGCTCTTCTTAGATAAAAATCTATAAAACACAAGCATTTTTAACTATCGTTCTTTTTAAATAGTTATATTACTTAATTATAAACGTATTCATTAAATATAGGCTATATGGCATTGAATTGAGAGACGAAGGAAACAAAGTTAAGTATGTGATTCGGGCGATTGTAAACATTTTTGTGGTCCCCGTATCAATATCTTTAGAGGAAATTTTATAGTTATAGATACAGATATTAATAATGAACAGTGAGAACTGAATAACATATGAAAAATATTCAATACAGTATTTCATAATTTCAAAACTGAAAATTTTCAGTCGAACAGAATTTACAGGAATATTAAAGTATTATAAAATTTTAGTGATGATGTTTAAAGAACTGAGTAACATTAAATTGATTTATCTATAAAATGAATTAATGGATTGCATAAAACATTTAAGCATATATACGGTTTAAAATAAGACGTTAAATAATTTTATGTTTTATATACAGGATGCTTCAAAAATATATAACACATATATGGAGAAGGTTCGTAGCCACTAGGCGTTATGAGGAGTTTTTGAGAACTCGCGATATATAGGTGAGAAGTCGCAATCCAATTGATCATGACTTCTTGCATATCGATGGAGAAACTACCACTGCAAATCCAGCATAAGAAGTTACTTCCATATTAATGTTAAATGTTTATTTTTTCCATACATGATATACACGAGATCTCAAAAATATTCTAAGATTTCAGAAATTCACAATCCATTTTTGATGAGTAAGTTTTATTTACCTTTCGGGATCAAATTTGTCCGGATCAGGAAAGTAATTGGCATCGTGATTAAGAGAGTAAACAGGAATTATTACAACAGTGCCTTTTTTTATTGTAATTCCTGTATTCCTTAATGTATAGTCTTCAACGGCAGTGCGTTCTAATCTAGAAAATATTGTCTATATTGTTTAATTATATAAAATTATTGCTTGGCATTTATATAATTTGGATTATAATAAATATAATATTTATCATTTATTATATTTTTTTAAATTTTGTAATAATAATAAATATGTAAATAAGTTCATATCATTTAGAAACAAATTTAAAGAGAATAAGGGTAATTTTAGATTTGATTTTAAGGTGATTTATATCAGCATTATTAGAAAATAATTCGACTATTTACCTAATTGCTGGAGTATATTTTCTAAGTACTTCTTGAAAAAATGCTTCTAAATATGTCATTCCAACAATGGCGTCATAATCTAAGTCTCCCTTTAGAGCAAAATATGTTTTACAATATAAAATTTATTAAATGATTTAAGTAGATAATAAATAGCAATAAAATAATAATTTTCTTTAATTTTAAACTTAAATCAAAAATTTATTTAGATAGATGTAAAATAGAAAAACCATACAGATTCTTTTGCAGTTTCGTCTATTTCTTTAATTAGTTTATCTTGAATATCTTGACTAATCGCTAATTGGTGAGCAGCAAACGATATAACTACAGAAGTTGCAAAATATCCAGCAATAAAGAATGTAACACATTGACTCACGACATCATCCAATTCAAATTCTAAACAATCGATTGTAATGTTTAATTATAATTAAACCTATTAAACTACTAAAGATAAAAAGAAATTAAGATACTCTGCGTTTTGTCTTCGTTGTTTTCTACGGCTTCTAGTAAAAATTGTAAAAAATCTTTCGGTTTTTCTTCCTGTAATTTTGGTCATTTAAATTATTATTTTCTATTCAGTCAGTTAGAATTTTACTATAAAATTTACGTTACCTGTTTTAAATCTTTTCTCTTGCTCACTACTTCTTCAATAACATTCTTGAAAAATAAAGTGGTTTCGGGATTAAAAAATGACAGTCGAATAAGCTTTGCGAGTTTAGGGAAAAGATCTAAAAATTAAAATATTTTCATTTTTCAATATTTTCAAAGTAGAGAAAATAAATTTCGAAATATCATTATTAATCATATTAAAAAACTATGATAAAATTATAATTACAGTTAGGAATAATTTGTAGGTTCTAGCAATTTAAAATGATTATTGTTTCTATTTTATCAATAAAATAAAATTTTAATTTAAAAAAAATCTGATAAAAATACTTTGAAAACGTAAAATTAATAATTTTAAAATATTATCTCTCTATTTAAAAATAAGAAAAAATGAATAAATAAATGCAATAAAATAAATTAAACGAGTAGCCTATCAGATCACGGCTAAATGAAAAGGTCTTTTCACAGCGGGACAAGATGGAAACAGACTCAATTATTCAAATATAACTTTTATTAATATGGGAATTCATTTCGAAGTACATCAGTCCATTTAAAGATTAGACGTATGGCAGTAAACACAATAAATATCTAAAATATTGTGCGAAAGCACAGTTTACGGATTAATACTATAAATAACACAGTACATTGTGTACACAATTACATAAGATATTAAATTAAAACTAATTAAAATTATACAACAGAATAATAAAAACAATCGATAGTTGTAGTTGGAGTTGAACTGACATATTAAACTGTTCACTTCATAAAACATAATATTGATTTTATCAATAATAAATTATTAATTACATTTATGATTTAATTTTAATAAATAAATAAATAATTTAAAAATTTGGGTAACTTACTTTAATTACTTAATTTAATATTTCTATTAGTTATACAGTATTTACGTTGACGCCATGTAAAGTTGATCATATACAAAAATCGCGTCAATTCGATTTTAAAATAAATTTACATTTTAAATTACATGTCCGTTACTCGATAACTATAAATACAGTCGAACGTCTTAACGGCGTCCATGTTTTTAGAAGCTTTAAACAAAAACGTATATATAAAATAACCTCCAAACAACGGTTAATTTTTATGTCATGCCAGTGGCTGTAATTTAAAAGTTTGATTGTATTTCGAATGTAATAAACACTCTTTAAAACTCTAATTGTTGTATTGGTATGAATCAAATTTTAAAATGTGTTAATTAATATAAAATAGAAAGAAACAAAAAATTGTTACAATAAACATTTTATTGCTCCATTTCATTATCAATAGTTGATACACTTTATCAATTATGTGATAAACGGAATTAAACAACTTCAAACTTAATAACGTTTTATGTCATTTATTAATAATGTGAAAGATGATAAAAGTTATAAAATTATTCAGTTATTTTTAATTTAAAAAAGTGCAAACTAGCAAACTATTTCATGATTATACATTATAATTTTGTAATGTATAATTATGTAAAAATTCTATAATGTGATCTAACTTTAATCACTTTAAAAATATAATTATGCATTTTTCCAACTATTTTAAGTATTTTTTAATAGTCAAATCATTTATATGTCATCTCGACAATTTATTATATTATTTATAATAGTAATTCATTTTAAAATATCAGTACTTTACATTAAAAAAATAATGCAGTGTACTATAAAAAATTTGGTGTTTTTTTATTTCTTATAATTTTATAATAATTTAAATGAATTAAAATTTTTTTAAATTATGCTGTGAAACTTAAGTAATCAGAGTTAATGAACTACAGTAATACCCCGAACTTACGCGATAGATGGAACTAAGCGATAACTGCGTAAGTCGAGGTATTACTGTATTAAATTTAACAATAAATTATCATATCACCTACCCAACAGTTGAAGGTATTGTTAACAATACAATTTTATTGTAATTTGATGATTTTAATAATTTTAATATAATCTTTACTGTTCTTGGTATTTATTAGAAATTAAGAAAACTTATTTAGTATTGAATAATACAGATTAGTAATAGTAAGAATTTCTTATAAATTTATTAATAATATATTTCATAATTTTAAATATTCCTTTTTATATAAGTATATTAGTACGTATATAAAAGTACGGATGAAAATTGCCACATGCAAATTTTCATTCGTATAGCCTACTTACTGGCCACTATGAACCTCCAAGGAACTGGAGATACACTTTCTCTGCCAGCAGTTACAAATGGATTGCTTGGATCTTTTCTTGAATCTATTTTAATTCCAAAAGCGCATCTGGCAATTGCATCCATAGTAAAAGTACTAGCATACCTAAAAATAAAGTCAAGCAGAATTATACTAAAGATGTATAACAGACAAACAGCAATATAATAGAAATATAATTAATAATAGAAAATTAAACTAAATATAAAGATAAATTACCCATTACTTGCTTCTTCATTAAATCGAAACAATATCTTGGATGATGGAAGACAAAGAATAGTGTAGTTTGTTGTTCATATTCCTCATAATCATATTATTAATTACAGCTTGAGACATTTTTTTCTTTAATGCAAGTTTAATCAACATTCTTTAAAAACGAGCATTTATTCATTGTGACAATAGTGAATGCCGTAACAACATTTTTAAGAAAAACGTATAATTCTCATTAAAAGCATACAATGAACACGAAATTAAATATATATTTAGACGGTTATGCTGACAGGGGTTAGTAACACTTGAATAGGGGTTATAACTAACCCCTATTCAAGTGTTACTAATATGAAGAAAACCCAGGAAATTCCACTTTGGTGACGTGCGAACCCACAACTAATTACCCATATTTAGTAGTTTTATTTACTCGTCCACTACGGGGTACTACTATTTTTGATACATAAATTTATACTTACTGTGTAATATCAATTTCTCTATTCTCCATTGCTGCTTCTTTTAAATTATCGATTAGAATCTGACAACATTCTTCCATTAATTTGCTCATCTTAAATTTATAGTCAACAAAGGAGTTAATGGATTAATATTTGATTTTAATAAAATATGTTTTAAACTTAATTTAAATGTGCAGACCATTCTTAATTTTCCAGAAGTGAAACTTGGCGACATCATGGTCCTCAATGCTTTCCATCTTTCTCCGCTTTGCATAAATAACCCTTTATCTAAAATTGGATCGCCAAATCGCAGTTCCTGTATATTATATCCATTAAAGATCATAATTAAATCTTTGATTAATTAATTAAGACGTTCTCTAGCATAAGAAAAGTAAGATAAGTTCCAAGTTAATAAATTTAATAAAATGATATACTCTTTGGTCTGGAAAAACAGGGAAATCTTTGACAAGAATATCTTTCACTAATTCTGGATCTGCTACAACAAGTGCGGGATTAGAACCTTCGTATATTCTGAAACATTTAAGGGTATATCAATGTAGTAGGCCTATATTATATTTAATTAATTATCAGGTAGTTTGCGAATTCTGTTCGATTATTGTTTATTTTTCAGAAAGTTTTGAATGTAGAATTTTTAAAAATTTAATTTACTTATCTTAAAAATAATATAATTTAAGAATTTTATACTTCTTCGAAACTTGAAGATTTTCATAAATTTATTAATTTATTTAAATATATTATAACTTGAAAAACTAATAAATTTATATCTTATTACCCAAATATTTTTCCGTATTTGTTGTACCATTCTTGTTCTTGTTTACCTTGATTCTAAGCATAAATGTAAATTTTAATATTGTATAACGAATATTGGTTAAATCTTTAAAAATATTCTTCGAAACTTAATCTTACCCTTTTAAAATTATATCCTATTGATCCAACGAGGAATTTCGGAGGCACTTCAGGAATTCCACGTTTCTTCCAATAACCAAAATCTTTAGTCATATATCTATATACGTGCAATATTAACTTTAACAAATAAATTTTAATTTTATGATAATTTAGTTTTTATATCTATAAATGGTTGATAAATTTTCAAGTATAAGTTTTGATCAAAATAAGAAAATTATGTCTTGATATATTTCTTAATAATTATATGAGTTCTAATTTAATATCATTGTGAAATGTAAAAAAGTTTTAAAAATAATAAAATCACATTAAATATGTATATATTTATTACGGTTTAATTATAAGATAATCAACGAAAATCTCCTCTACGATATTGCATAACAGACATTATTGTAATCAAGTGTGAAAAGTGCAAAGTACAAATTAATATTGAAATTAAATATAAATATTTTAGTAAATTGTATGTAATTTTAATCCAATATGTTAAATTTATAAAAACGGTTTTATAAATTCATAAATTTTCAAGTCGTTTATGATTTGTTTTACATTAAACCGTTTTAATAAAGTTATGAATAAGCCTACTTGTGTGTTTCAGTTGCCAATCACAGTCAAAAATTTCTCAAAAAATTTATTAAATTAAAACAATTGTTAAAATAATAGAAATAAAAAAGGATTTAAAATGCAGAATGCACTTCAAAAAATGCAATTTATATTTATTATAGCAGCGATTCCCAACCTGTGGTACGCGTACCCCTAGGGGTACGCGATAGGTTGTTTAGGGGTACAGAAAAAAGTTAGTTATTATGGCAGAAAAAATAATATATTATGTATCACAAACTAATAGTATTAAAAAATTATTAGATAAAAAATGTTCCTTGCAACAATCACAACTTTATTATACATTTTTTCTTTTAGGTTTTTTTTCTTTAATTTAAAGTTACAATATGTAAAATTAACAATACGGTTACTCACTAAATTTCTTAAATGAGGGGTACAATCTAGAGATATGACATGTCACGGGGTACAATCTAGAAATATGACATGTCACGGGGTACGCTAATGAAAAAAGGTTGGGAACCACTGTATTATAGTATACTTATTAGACATATTACTAAACAAACAACTCTACTAAACCCGATACCTTGTAATAACAAATCCATCAACGCTCTATATTATCGGGCTAATAACGGCTATGATAGCCCGATAACATACGGCATTGGTTGGATTTGACATATCACTATTAATAAATACAGTATTAATGTTTTAGATTAAATATATTATTAATTACAATATTTCGATATTGTTTGTAGAATAATACTAAAACTAGAATAATGCTAATATGTGAAAATATCTCAGAGTTTAACAGATTTTGATATTTATATAAAACATTATTAAAATAAGTTTGTACAATGTACTGTACAGTACATTATAGAACAACTTACAACTTAAGTAAACTTGATTTTTTGGAAATAAAATCAAAGCTAAATCAAATACAGTAGAGCATCGATTATCCGACTCAATTGGGGACTCGGGTTGGTCAGATAACTGAAAAAATCGGATAACCGAAAAGAAGAAAAAAAATACATTATTAGTATAGTATATTAGCATATTAGTATATCCCATGTAATTAGTATATCGCTACTAACATACTTCACATTGAATTTTCATCGATGTTAAGCCTAACAAATTTTTTTTAAAAATAATAATCGTTGTTATTGTATCGTTAAAAAATATTTTTAAATTATTTCATTGCTCACAAAACAAACAACCACTCATAATTAGAAAATTAAATCTCGTTTAAATACAGGCCTCCCTTCATTGGTCGAGCCAGTGTAGCCAGCTAAAACACGCAAAAATTTAACAAAAACAATATTAAAGTAGCCAAGACATAGCCAAATATTGTAGTGCCACATCACTAGCGGACACTTGAAATTTGCTGACTAGAACGGCCGGTTAACCGATGTGACGGTTAATCGGGGGTCGGATAATCGATGTTCTACTGTATTATAGTTATTTATTTTATTTTTCTCTCTAGATAACGTTTAATTGTATTTCTGTAATAATCGTATTCTAAATTTATATTGATATATATTTAAAAGAAAAAAACTGTTAATTATAATTAATAGTTGAGCAGTATATAATTTTAATGATATTTACAAATCTAATAATGAAAATACAGTATGTATATTTTTTTACACTTCTATGTAAAATAAAAATTTATATTTTACATTTTAAAATTCCTTCTTTTCAGTTATCGATTACATAAAATAGATTTCTTATTATAGATTTCATTTAATATAAAATCTATAATATTAAATCTACAGAAACTCCTCGTCGTTGAAATTTCACTATAAGATTGAAAAAGATTGCATTAAAAATATTGTACTCACAAATAGAAACTTATTAAAATTCCGATAAATACTAAAACGTAATCAAAGACACCGAAGATGTAAGTCATGTTGAGATGATTTATATAATATCTTGGCAACTTTAAATATTCTTATCATATTCCAGAGATATGATAAAAATCGGGGTCACGAACAAATACACTTTATATCCAATGAAATCAAAAATAAATGATTCATATATTATATAACGGGAAGAATTTGGAAATTTAATTTATAAGATTATAATTTCTATACTCGAACTTTTTAAAATAAATAAATAGTGCACTATCTTATGACATTTATGACCATTAAGTAATGTTATATAGTTTATATAATCACTCTCATAAAATTCGAATATTTAGTAAAAATAAATAAAAAGACATGATGTTCATGATATAAGATATGTACGACTTAAATATTTTCTCTACGTTTAAAATTCATAACATATTTGCATAGAATATATTAGAATGTTTTTATAGAACCACTAGCTGTTACCCGCGACTTCGACAGCGGTGGTTTTGCAAGCAAACCCCATTTATATTCAGTATTTCAACAACCATAGTAATTGTTATATAACACCCACCGCTGAGAATGATGAGAATGGCCGAGAATCAAACGAATTGTTTTCAATTTGATCAATTTTCTGGAGTGTTTACAATCGTTCTAAAATCGAACCAATATGCAGTAACAAATTCGAATTTAAAACGGTTCGAACATTTGGTTAAAAAATCGAATCTGAATTCGTTGCAATTACTTGTTCCGTTTTCTGAAATTAATATAGTGGTGGTATTATGGAACCCCTCCATTTCAAACTGATAATAAAGGTGAACTGTAGCGGATTGTGGCTGAACTACACTCGGCGAACATAGCAAGGGGAAAAACCCGTTTCACTTCAGTTAAACGGTTGTCCGTAGTGAATTAGCATATTCGTGTTTTTCGAAATTCAAAAGTTTAGAATGCTAAGTGAATTTAATTATTTCTAAAATATAAACCGTGTAGTTGTAGGTTCACTGGTGCATGTATTCTGTTCCAGAGACTTAGGGGTACATATTAATCTGTGTGATGTTCACGTTTTTTTAAAATTTGGTCTTGACAGACATAAGTTAATTCAAGATGGCGATGCGTGAAATACGGACCCCATTGGTGCTTTTAATTAATATGGAACCCGTCTAACTTTTGTAAAAGTATGTGGTAGATGAATGAAAAAATGGAAGGAAAATGAAAAAATTAAAAATATCAATAGATACCTAACACTGTAGGAGCGTTATATTTGTGATTTTTGTAAATGATTAGTTTCTTCTTTGTACATTTCTTTATTATTATTATTAAATCATTTTTGCGATAAAATACATTGGAGTAAATAATTTTGTAATTATTTAACATTCTTCGTACATTCCTATTTGTTTTTTGGATACGTTAAAGCATTATTTGAAAACATACAGTAAGGTTCCATATTACTACCCGGTTTTTCTTAAGCCTACTTTCTAACTTTTTGTACAGAAACCTTCAATAAACATACTTACAGTTACACTAACGAAAAATCCAATTAGGAACATCAAGTTTAACGGTTACCAGTACTTTCGCACAAAAAATGTGAGTGTAGTTATGATAGCTTGTTTACAATTTACTATAATGAAAATGGGGTTCCATAATACCATCTTCTCCTCTATCTGTGGACGTCAATGCTCGTCACGATTATGTAAAGTTACATAAAAAACGATCCTTTCGGCTAGGGAATAAAGTTTCATTTTTTTATTTTCAGATGTTTTCTGGTTTCACAAATATTCTCAGATATTTTCACCCGCGAGAAACAATTTTATCGCGATTTTAATCAACGTTTAATGACACGTTTAATTGCTTTTTTAATGGGAGTTTAATATCAGATTACATTCATCGTTATAAAGTTCTAAGGCACCGATTTCTTTCTTTTTGATGGGGTGATAATACATAATTTCAGATATTTTAGCGCGTTTGTCATGGATATAATTGCTAAATGTGCTTTCGGAATAAAATTAGATTTGAGAAAAATCCAAATAATCTATTTATGATTGCAATTCGGGAAACATTCGGATCTCTTCCACGGAGATTTATTGTAGAAATATGTCTTGTGTTGTAGTGTTATGAAATAAGGAAAATGTAAAATTTATTAAGAAAATAAAAAAATTCTATTTCTGTTTAAAACAAATAAAAATATATAAAATTCACATACTTTTATAACTATAGAATATTCTTGTACAATATATATAAAAATTTCCAGGCTATTTTCCTAGCATTTCGAAGCTCATTCATTTGACAGTTTTTAATCCACGAACAACTGCATTTTTTAGGGAAATTATCTTGGATGTAATAAAAAAAAATCGAGAGAATTTGAAACCAGTTTCATTTTAAACTTTAATTTATAAGGAACTATTTAACTAACATTAAATATATTTTAGGACGAAAAGCCATTCGATTTTCCGCAACTGTTGATGGATTCGAGGAATTCGATGATGATAATAAAGAGAAAAATGTGTTATAATTTATCATCTTTTAAATTTAGTTTTTATATATTTCTAATTATTTGACATTTAACTTAATAGTTTATTATAAAAAAATCAGATTTCTATAAAAGATTAAAAAAAATCAGTTATAATGTTATTTATCACATTGTGCATGAGAATCTTTTTTATTTCTAAAAAATCCAGAAAAGAGTTGCGTAATTTCTTGACAAAACACTTAAAATTGTGTATGGCACAAATTGTTATGCGATTTTATTAAAACGTTTAATATTATAAATTACTGTAAAATGTCAAAAAGCTTAATTTTGAGAGAAGAGATGAATTGTAATAATAATAAAAAAATTGTAAATGCTGATAACGAATAAAATCTTCATTAAATAAAAATGCATATCCATGATATACGATATAAACTATTTAAATATTTTCTCTGCGTTTAAAATTCATGATATAGGGGAGATCGGGGCAAGATCGGCATGTTAAGCTTTACTTAAATTTTGTGTAATAAATACTGCTGTAAACTGAAAAAAAAGCTTTGCATATTGTCTATTGGAATGTTACCTTACTATAGAACTGGTTAAAATCAGTTTGGAAATAAAAATAATTAAAATAATTACAA